TTAGATTCTTTGTAACTTGTGCTTTTATTCACCCAAATCCTCCCATGAATATGAAGAAATTGCTGCAACTTGCAGATGTCACTATCAACGGGAGAGAAGGATTCCTTCCCGGTCATCAGATTGTTATTGCATTCATAGCTCATTTCATCTTGCGGCAGTCAGATCTCTAATTTTGTTCAAGATAATCCAAGAGATTTAAAAAAAAAATTTTAATGTTGTCTGGGCAGTGATGCACACTTGGGAGGCTGAGGCACGAGAACTGGTTGAGCTCAGGAATTTGGGGCTATAGCGCGCTATGCCAATTTGGTGTTCACATGAAGTACCAGCAAGGGAATCATGCCTGTAAACATCAGTGCAGTCCAGCCTGGGCCACATAGTGAGACGTCATCTCCTAAACAATTATTTTTAAAATCTTTTTTTTGTTTTAGTTGTAGATGGACACAATACCTTTATTTTATTTATTTATGTGAGGATTGAACCCAGTGCCCCATGCATGTGAGACAAGTGCACCACCACTGAGCCACAACCCCAGCCCTCTTAAAATAATTTTTAATATTTAAATTCTTTCTCCTTTGATCCTTCTTCTAAGACGCCCCCCCCCCGCCCCGCTCCCCTAGAATTCTCACCTGTAGCCAAGTTATTTTCCTTGTTCCACAGGTCCTGATCTTCTTCATCCACCTTCACTCTCAGATGCCTCTTTTTTCTCTAGTCTTGAAGCACATGTAGCAAATGTGTAAAAAGTTAAGGGATACATTTGCCCCTCAGCCAACCTGACATGGCTACACATCTTTTTAATCTTTCTATCTTTCTTTCTGCTATACTATTAAGGCATATCTGCTTTTTTTTTTTCCTTTTGGGTCCCCACTCCCCTCTTCTCACCTCACCAGAGACACTTCACATGTCTCAAGATCATTCTGCACTTTCTTTATTTCCTTATTGTGATTCACAACAACTGTGCTTTTACATTGCATCCAGATTGTTCTTTGCTCTTTAACAGATTTTCTTTCTATTTTTTAAAAAGAGATGGGATATAGGTTAAAAAAAAACCTGAAAATATTCAGATAGTGAATAGTGTACTTGACAATTCCTTTAGTGCCAACTGAATGGCTTGTAGCATAGTCTATTCAGCAACTTTTAAAATTTCTCCTCTTGCCCTCCTGAAATATGCCCTTGGAATGGAAGAGTGGGCTGGTGGCACCATTTTGATAGTCATCTCATCTGTTCCCTCATTGGTTGAGTCACAATGTAGATTCTTATCTAAATGCCCCAAAGGTGATACTGTACCATATGTGAGTTTCTCCCATTTTCCTGGCCTTCTCAAGTTCCACTATCTTCTTGAGGCATCCGCAGATATGTCAGAGGGAACCCTCCCCTTTCTGAATCTCTCGGGCCATCTTTTCTTTGGTGTTGGTGCCTGTTTTTCCTTTTGGTGCTTTTTTTTTTTTTTTTCCTTTTCTTTGGTGTTGGTAGGTACCAGTTTGGTGCTTATCTTTTTCAGATCAACTTATATACTTGGAGCATGAATTCCAGAGGGTTTTAAAACCTGGTCCTATCACCTAGTAGCTGTGTGATCTTAGACAATTTAGTCTCCAGACCTCCTTGGTTTTCTCATCTGGGAAATGAGTATCTGCTTCATAGGATGATTATAAATATTAAATGAGTTAGTATTTGTAAAGTGTTTAAAACAGTGCCTAGCCCAAAGTAAGCACTCTATAAAAGTTTTTTTTTTTTTTTAAATTATGCTCCTTCTCACCTACTAACCACATCCAATGTGGCTAAAGAAGGAAGAAGGAAATAGTGTAAGAGAGAGATAGCTTGCTAGTCATTGAGAAATGTGAACTGACATTTCTGTTTTCAAAAATAGAAATCCTGGTCCTTTTAATCAAAACGAGCAGTTTTCAACCTCACTGTGCTACATTGTGAGGCAAGAAGATTATTATGAGTTTCATCCTAATTACAATCAATCATGGTAAAAGTGCTGACATTTTTATAATAAAGATACAAGGACTGCAAGGTTTGATTCTCAAACACTTTCTTGAATGGGAACTGAGAAAAGTCAAAGTCACAGAAAATGAATTGGTACCTGGGAACTCATCAAGGCATTTTTCCCACTAGGGCAATTCTCTGGTAATATGTGGAGTGAATGCTTGTGTAAACATTGTGAAGTCTGGTGGACTCACACGATTATCAGCCCCTTGCTTAGTAGCTCCTTAAATGTTCCCTGGGTATGTTGTGAGTTTGGATTTCTTTAATGAAGATCATAACATCCTCAAGGTTAAAGGGCTATGGATTTTCAATCCCCTGGCACAGTGTGGAAACATTGCGTTGCTAAATAATCTCTAGTTGAAAGATTTATTGTTAGGAAGAGTAAAACAGGGCTGGGGCTGTAGCTCAATGGCAGATCACTTGCCTAGCATGCGTGAGGCACTGGGTTCAATCCTCAGCAACACATAAAATTAACAAATAAAATACAGGCATTCTGTTCATTTACAACTACCAAAAATAAAAGGTAAAACAATGCAGTGTTCTGATGCTGGCAAACCACAGTTGGAGATAATGATAAAACCCCCACGGTTCCAACTAAGAACACTGATTCCATCCCAGGTTCTCTCATTCCATAATAAAGGACAGTAAAAACCAGGAAGAAAATTAAAGTGAGGGGCCTGGATCATCCAGGTTAGAGGTGTATTGAGCATGACTCTTAGGAGTGTGCTGTTTCTCTGAATCCTTCATTTTAAGTAGTTCAAACAGTAACTTTTATGGCGTTAATCAACACCAGGGGGCAGGAGAGAGTGGATGGAAACAAGTAGGACTCCAGAAGGATGGTGTGAGCAAGCAGTTTATGTGAAACGTCCAACATAGTTCTTGAAATCTACTTGTTAGTTGAATCTGAAAGTTTAAAAATCCTTTAAAATTATTTATGAATTACAGAAGTTTTCCATGTTCATTGTAAAGAACAAAATAAGAAGTACAGAGAAGCAAGACAACAAAAATGTTTTTATTCCCCACAATCTCATTACCTTCCAATAAGCACTGTTAACATTTTGGTAGAGCATATTTTATTTTCTATGTATGCATATCTTTCCCCTCAAATAGGATCACAGTGAATTCTTATTATTTTTTATTGTTCCATTACTTTAACTGGCAATATTCACATTTTAGCTCAAAGTATGATTAGGACTCTACCAGGGTTCTAGTTCCCAGAAAGCCCCTCAACTTCTTTAAGTTTTAGATCCCTCAACTATGAAATTAAGAGTTTAATGCCAATAATACATAAGACACTGTTCATCTCATTCTGACTAGGAAGACAGTATGATGTAGTGGATATTGCTCAGGCACCAGCCAGGTTCTAATCCAAACTCTACCTGTAAGATCCTGGGCAGGTTTCTTGACCTCTCAATTCCTCAGTTTCCCTTTCTCTGTGATAGGATTTATGTAGAAGACGCCGCCTAGGCTTGTAAGAATTAAACACACACACATACACACACACACACACACACACACACACCATTTAGACCAGTGTTTAGCATAAGGTAAAGACTCAACAAGCAACAGCTACTATTGATATCAAAAGCACAGGTGCCAGCTTTCCTGAGGTGATAGAGTAAAAACTAACATTGAGGAATTGAGTACTAACTTGAGAACTAGCATGGGTTGAGCACATGAGCTGGACATTCTACTAAATTTGTCATTTGCACAATCTTATTTAATCCTCAAAACAAAATTACTGTCTCTACTTTACACACCTGGAAACTGAGGTTAGAACTTGCCTGGATTCAGGTAGCTAGTAAAAGTCAAACCCAAAGACTAAGACTTCTTGGCTAGTTTTAGCTGAGCTGAGGGGCTACAATAGCTGCCATTGGTTGGACATTCATTCCGTTTAAAAAAATAAAGCCCAAGAATTAAATATCTTTCTCAGCGATCTTCAGCATGGGTTTATTTATCTTCACTTCAATAGCACCATTTTAACAGTTCCATTGTTTGACAGTTATTTAAAAGCCACAATGCTTTTTGTACATTTTAATATACTGCTGGATGTTTTAGTAGAGCAGAAATAGGGGGTGGGCTTTATAAAAATAATTATTATACTTAAGTTAGAAATTAAATTTTGTGGTTGTAACTGATGGTCTAAAAATTCCCCCAATTAAACAAAACCAAGAAATCTCATGAACGTTACTAGCTTGGGAAGGTCGTGAAATGTAGTGTGACATTTTAACATTTTTACTTTCTACATCATTGCCAAAGGACGTCAGAACTGGTCTGGGCCGACTACTGGCTCTGCCTGCCTCGTGGGTGAAAAAGTTTATTTCATTTCTGGCTATAGTGTCCTCTTCCAAGGAGAGAACAGAATGGACTAAAACACAAAGTGCTTTTAAATTAAATGCCACTTCATTGTTTTATAGGGCTTGCATGCTTTCCTAACATTGTTTGGAGAAATTGGTAATTTCTGGCAGCCTTTTCCTCCTGTGTGGTGCATTTATGGATTCACTCGAAGCCAAACAACGAACAGCCAACTTCCCTTTGCTCTGGCCAAGGTGGGAGGACACAAATGAGCAAAGGAAACACTTAAAATAATGTACACATTTGGATCCCGCCACAACTTTCTATGCTCAGATTCAACTCTGCAAGCCTAGAAGAGTTGGCCCCGTCCTGGGTGAGGCCTGCAGCTTTCTCTCCCGGCCCCGTGCATTACGTGCCTGAAAGCTTCCTTGCTCAAGGTTCGCGGCAATGTCCTGCTGACCTAGGAATCATCAACGCGAGCCCCCAGCCGGGGCTCCCGGGAGCTCCCGGCACATCCTGGCCCGCAGCGATCACGTCCCTGGACTTGGGCTCGAGCCCTTGCTGGGCGCTGGTTGGTCGCGCCACTGGACCCGCGGCCCGGTGATTGGTCCAAGGGATGAGTTCACGTGGTTAGGCGCTGATAAGTGGCCTCTCTAGGGCCTGACCGCAGTCGGCCCGAGGGGGAGTGCAGAGCTGGTACTGCTCGGGGCTGGGTGCAGACAGCGGGGTGCTGGGCTCTCTCGGTCCGCCGCCGCCTCTCTGCCCAATGAGCTGCACCAGGTAGGTTTGCTGCAACTTCGCGCTCCGGAACTGAAGGGAGGTGCAGCTGTAGAGAAGTTGGGAGTTCTGTCCTCCCTGCAAATGTAGCCTCCAGGGAAGGGCTGGTTGACTGGCTGCTGTGTTAAATCTGGCACCCCGGGAGGCCTTGGAGGTGTGGAAATTTGCGCTGTATTTTTCTTAGGCAGAAGCTATTTTCATAATCAGCATCCTAAATCAGAAACTGTTTTAACGTGAGTCAGCTTTAGTTTGGATTTCCTCATTGATAACGACTCTAATCTTTGGGTCCTGCACTAATATCCCAGACATTTAACTTGTGATTAGCACTATGACATCGCTAGTCAGTTTAGCTCTGGGACAAAAATTACAGGACGATGTTTGCATTCATTCGTTCTCCTCCATTCCTTATCATAGTTTGCCATAATAAACTCAAGTCTCAGAGTTTGAGCAAACTATTATTTTAAACTCTTGGCCAGGACTTAAAATTCCAGGGAAATCGCCCAATATTAAATCTGTCTTTCTATAAATGCAAAAAGTAAAAAAAGAAAAAAAAAAAAAAAAACCTCTCCCATGAAACTACTAAAGTGGCTTCTCCAGACATAACTAGGCAGACTTCTCTAAAAACCCTGCCTGTTAACTATTTTTAGATCCACAAATATAACTTTAGCATTCATTTATTTGCTCTCAGTTTGTAGGTCTTCCAGAAAAATTCCAGAGCTAATAAATTCTGTGAATGTTCTTCGTTGTCCATTTTGTGATAATGACCACTTGCCTACGTGCTTAGAGCTGCTATGAAGAGAGCTATTAAAACCACACTGAGAAATGTCATGTGCAGTGTTCACACACCTCTTATCTGCAAAGCTAAGATTGTGGGGAAGCAGGAAGGGAGATCCTAATTACATAGCTTGGCAAAATGAGGGTTAAAGACCAGGAAAAAAAAATCATCTTGATGGCTGCTTTTTGGTTTAATATTGCTGAGCATAGTTATGTTTAAGTTTTAAATAGCTTTATTGTCTTTCTACTATTTATACATATCTTTCTACATATTAATAAATACTCATTGCCAAAACATTAGAAAATACCCTCAAAGTACAGTTAATAGATCATCTTAATCATTATCACTGAGAGAGAGTTAACTTTTTAGTGTATTTTCTGTAGTTTTTCAGTATTTGTAAGTAATCTAACATACATTTAAGAATAGTTCAATTTTCAAATAACCAGTTTTTTTTCTCTTTAAAGTTTATTGTGTATATTCAAGGCATACAACATGCTTTTATAAAATACATGTGTAGTAAAATGATGATATAATGGAACAAATTAACACATACATAATCTCATATATGCAATCAGATTTTCCATTTAAATGTGAAATTGTCATGAGCATCTGTCTATTGGAAATTTAGATTATGTAAAATATTTCTTTAAGTATATGAATGGTTGACTTGTGTTTCAGTCAGTTATTTGTGAAAAATGGGAAAGAATGATAAGTGAAGTGCAAAATTAATTCTGACTCCATTCCTGCCTTCTTATTCTTAGAACTGTTGCTTAAGGATTTTTATTATTACTTTTTATCTTCAAGAAGATTACCTTCCAGAGAAGTGGAATCAATTTAACAGCAAAATAAGCAATAATAGCCACAGAGAACAGAGGTCTGAAACTATGGTACTCAAAGAACCCATCTGGTCATTAGAATCTCTCGGGAAGCTTTGAGAACATATCCACCTCTGTGGATTTACCCTGAGAGGTTCTGATTTAGTGGCTCAAAGTCCCAGGCATCTGAATTTTTTAAAAAAGAAAGAAATTAATTTGATAGGCCATTGAGAACCATTTGAGATTTGAGAACATTGGTTCACAACAGAGCAAATGGTTCTTAGAGCTGTATAAAACATCATCAAATCCAACTGAATCCCCCTTCAGGTGATTTAAGCAGTTACACACAGCCCTGTAGCTAACCAAGGGCATAGGTAGATGGAGAATGTGGATCTGATTTACCGATACTGTTTTCTTACTACATATAGTAGCACCTCCCTGCTGCACTGACTGCAATTCAGTCAGTACAGAAATAGTACCTGTGTGTTTGGGACAGGGGAAGAGCGTTCCAGATCTAGGTGTTAACCCTCCATCCTTTTGCTTTACAGAATGATCCAGGTTTTAGATCCACGTCCTTTGACCAGTTCAGTCATGCCAGTGGATGTGGCCATGAGACTTTGCTTGGCTCATTCACCGCCTCTGAAGAGTTTCCTGGGCCCTTACAATGACTTTCAAAAAAGAAATTTTGTGAATAAATTAAAGCCTCTGAAACCATGTCTCAACCTCAAACAGGAAACCAAATCACAGAACGAATGGAAGCGCTCACACAACCAAACCAAGAAGCGGGTTGTGTTTGCTGATTCCAAGGGTCTTGCTCTCACGGCTATCCATGTCTTCTCTGACCTCCAAGAAGAACCAGCCTGGGATCTCCAGTTTGACCTCTTGGACCTTAATGATATCTCCTCTGGCTTAAAACTTCATGAGGAGAAAAACTTGATTTTAGATTTTCCTCAGCCTTCATCTGATTACTTAAGTTTCCGGAAACACTTTCAGAAGAATTTTGTGTGTCTGGAGAACTGTTCTTTGCAAGAGCGAACTGTGACTGGGACTGTCAAAGTGAAAAACATGAGCTTTGAGAAGAGAGTTCAGGTCCGAATCACTTTTGACACTTGGAAAAGCTATACAGATGTGGACTGTGTCTACATGAAGAATGTGTATGGCAGCTCTGATAGTGACACCTTCTCATTTGCCATTGACTTACCCCCTGTCATTCCAACTGAGGAGAAAATTGAGTTCTGCATTTCTTACCATGCTAATGGGCGGGTCTTCTGGGACAACAATGAGGGCCAGAATTACAGAATTGTCCACGTGCAATGGAAACCTGATGGGGTGCAGACGCAGATGACACTCCAAGACTGTGCATTCCCCCAGGTGCCCCCGAAGACCGAGTTAGAATCAACGATCTTTGGTAGTCCCAGGCTGGCTAGCGGGCTCTTCCCAGAATGGCAGAGCTGGGGGAGAATGGAGAACTTGGCCTCTTATCGATGAATTAAGCAACCTAGTGACTGGTCTTGACCTGTCATAGTCCCCATGCAATTCTAGGTCTGTATTGCTCAATATTAGGAAGTTTTTGATACTTTCCATCAGTAGGTTTAGGTTTGAGCTTTTGTGGACTTGTTTCAGAATATATACAGCCACTTGAGAAGTTAGTGTTGGGGTCTATATGGATGATATTACCCAATTTTGCTTTGGAGGGCCCGGTAACAGCCTAGAATCTATTTTTATAAAAGTAATGTTTTTTTTAGTGCCCTTCCTCCTTCCCTCTCAATTCACTAACTTTCACATTGGGCAAGGAAAGGTCGAGGAAGGACAATTGATGGTGATGGGAAGCTGTGTTAATGGTATGGCGAATGTGTGAAAGGTGTACATGAAGGGCTCTGAAGCTCAAGTCAGAGTAGGAGTGGGAGGTCTGATACTTAATTATTGGTGAAAAAATGTAAGGTTATTTTGTGTTTTAAAGTTGGTTTACAGTTCCCTCCTGGGGAAGTAACTCATGGGGGAAAAGAGATCCATTCTATGTATTCTTGTGAAGAAAAGCCAAACAAATTTTAGGGGTGTTGGATGGTATTTGGGGATGATGAACTGTATCCTGGAGAATCAAGATCTTAAGTGAAGCCTTCCTGTTCAAACATGATCAAAAAATTGGGGGAAAGTGTAAGCAAATCTGGCTTTGCATTCCTAATGTTGGTAAGCGGTTTTGTGATCAAGGCCTTATGCTGGGGTTCTTGGTACAGAACGCTATCTGACAAAACCCATGCCATCACCAATGGTAATGACATGTAGGGACTCCAGGTCATGGCAAAGATCGTTCTTTGCAAGTGCCCATAGTAGCTTACCCCAAATGTCTGAACAAACATCTGATAATTCATGAGTTTTTAGCCTTGTAAGAAGGTTCACTGTACACTGGTCTTCCTCCTGTAATATGGTGTATCTTTGAGTGTGTTGTCAGTGTACACAGCTCACATCCTTCATATTGAAGGTGACTTGTTTTTCTGCCACACTTTTTCAATGTGATGTTTGAAGTGAGGACTGACACTAGGATTCTCAACGTAAGAATCTGATACTGTGCACATTAGACGTAGTAGTTAATCTCTTTGCCTGTTTTTTGTCTTGTTGTTTTAATTTCCTTTGAAGTAAAAATGCTTTTTTAAAGAAATGGATTTGAATTGTTTTAGATGTGAATTGTTTTCATGTGTACATAAGCTCTTAAGCACAGGAGACAAGAATATTTGCTTCTGTCATTGTGTACAACCGCTGAGAGGTGTTAAGAGAATGCAGTTAATTTTAACATGTGTGATCTGCCATGCTGGAAAAGTACTATTAGAAAAACTCCACTGTGACAGTATTTGAGGATTGGCTGACATCCATAATTTTTCTGCTGTAAATATTTCACTCTCTTCTGGCTATCCTTTAGGAACCTCTCACTTAAAGAATAAATGTATTTGATATAAGATCCAAGAATGTTTTCTTTCTCAAAGGCACAATTAATTAAAAAATCAAAAACAAAATATCAACCGATATTCTCCTGTTTTGTTTAGGAAAAGCCAAGCAGAGTTAGTTTGGACTAGGAAGTAGATCCATCTGAGAGTATTTCAAGGGTTCTAGTCTCATTTGTGACCTCTGGGGCTGGTGCCTGGGCCAGTGACTTGAGGGACCATCCCCTTCAGCAATTAGTGTTCATCACATTTGTTATCTGCTGGGTCACATTTGTTATTTTGGAGGTCACATGTCAACTTTAAAATGGGGAAGGAGTTAGTGTGGAAAGGGCTGGAGAGGCTCTTACTTCTTAAGCTCCAACTCCTCCTCCTCCTCGCTCTCCTTCCTCCTCCTCCTCCTCACCCCCTTCCTCCTCCTCACCCCCTTCCTCCTCCTTGCCCCCCTTCTTTCTCCTCGCCCCGTTCCTCCTCCTCCTCCTTTTAAATTTAACCTTTATTTTATTTTATTTATTTATTTTAATGTGGTGCTGAGGATTGAACCCAGTGCCTCACTTGTGCTGGGCAAATGCTCTACCATTGAGCTATAACCCCAGCCCCTCCAGCACCTTCTTGAGAGTTAAGCTTGGAGCTGCCAAGAGGGGCCCAGGGAGGGACAGTGGGCATCAGTCCTGGACTGGAGGGAGATGCCAGTTTCTTGAGGCAAGATGCAGCAGGTCCAAGAACCTCAGTTGTTATTCCCGCTCTACCTAACATTTCAGAAAGGGCTTCTGTACAGTGTATTTTAAACTGAAGGGGAAATCAATGATCAGCCTATTGGAAAAGCCCAATTATGAGGGATAAGCTTTAATCATAACATCCTCTATTAGGATCATGTCAACTATAGGTCTGCAGGCTGTATCTGACCTCAGATGTATTTTATTTAACACAGAATTAAAAAAAAATTTTGCAGAGATATAAAAGTCAGCAGACTACATAAAAATATGGATTTTATATTTTTCCTCTAAAAATTGTAAGAGTCTTCCTCATGGCAACACCTATGTGGTGTTGGGTAGCAGCTGCTCCCTTTAGATGAAGCCTGCTGCCCTAGATGGGGCATGCTGCCTTGTGCTGGCCTAAGACCCCAAAGAATGGCTGTGTTCTCTTATGCTGTTGACTGGCCTCTGTGGGTATTGGAGTTCATACCTCCTGTTTGTCACTGTATTCATGCCAATGGTTGGGTGAAAAATACCCTCTTTCCAACAGATGGAGAAAATTCAAATTTGGGTCTGACAGGGACAGACTCAAAGTCATGGGACTCAAATGCCTAACTTTATTATTATTTTTTTAATTTTTATTTTCTTGGGTACCAGGGATTGAAGTCAGGGACACTCAACCACTGAGCCATATCCCCAGCCCTATTTTGTATTTTATTTAGAGACAGGGTTTCACTGAGTTGCTTCGTGCCTCACTTTTGCTGGGGCAGGCTTTGAATTCACAGTCCTCCTGCCTTAGCCTCCTGAGCCACTGGAGTTACAGGTGTGGGCCACTGCACCGGCTCAAATGCCTAGCAGCCAGTGGCTTTAGGCTTAGTGTTCCTTCCTGCTCCTTACACTTCTTCCTTAAATCTCCCCTAGAGACCCTCCTTCTTCAGGAGACCCCTGTCTGAAAGAGGACGCCAATTCCAAGCAGGCATGACTCTGGCAAGTTCTTACAGGTCATCTTTCCAGTTTGACTCAATGTTGGTACATCTCTGGGCTGCTCCTGAAGGAGAGCTTGGTCAAAGAACATGGTGTTTCTGGGCCTTTAATATTGAATGGAATTTTCCACATTTCACATCCTGATATCTCACCTAATAGAAGCAACTCTGCTATTTAAAATTTAACTTGGAAGAATGGCTTGAATGGGGTACATGATGTGCTTTTCCAAAAAAAGGAAGGCTTAATTTGCTTAAGGAAGGACTCTGTTCTAAATTCACGACTCTTCTTTTAGTTTATTCCCCCCAAAGCTGGAAATTTCTAGTATGGAAGGGAACTTTGCATCTTCCTTAATGGGAATCCTAAAGTTCTATCCACATTTGGTGGTCCTTCAGTTCACAAAGGGAGAGTTTTCTTTAGCTTTCATTTCCAGTTTCCACACAGAGTTTTCTAGCAGATACTGTGAACTATGACTTGAAAAACTCTCCCATTAGTGAGCAGGGATTCCAAAATCAGAGTAGTCCTCACATGTAGTTTTGCTGACTTCTGGCCTTCTGACCATTCCTTCTTTCTGCCAATGAGTGGACACTCACTTCTGAGTTTGAAGGTGAGCTTTTAAAATACTGATGCCTCCCCCTGCACTTCCCAAGATCCTGATTTAGTTGGTCTGAGGTATAACCCATGTTGGACAGTTTTCAGAGCTCTTCAAGTATTTACAATGTGCATCAAATTTGAAGTCTTCAGGTTTAATCTGGGGAAGTGTTTTTAGCTGCCCCATTTCTGAAAATGGAGTCCGATAATGGCTCAGATTATCCCATTCACCTTAAAGAATATATAGATGATGAAATGGAGTACGAGAGATGTTAAAACTTGCTTGAGATCACAGAAAGAGTAGAGCCTGATCTCCTGATTCCTTCTCCCAACACTGCCTCACCACCACTGCCAAATCCTCTACTAAACAACCCGAAAACAGACTTCCTCATTTTACATTAGAATCTATTCTCTTATCTTCTCTGATCTTTTGCATTTATGCATATGTTAATGATGATGCCTTTGGGTACAAGTGACATGATCCCTCACTCAACCAGCATCAACAATAAAGAAAATTTATTATTTCGCAGTACAAGTCCTAGGTAGGGTGTTTTCAAAGTTGGTAAATTCAGTGGCTTAGATTCTGGTTATTTCTACTTTCTTTCTACTATTTCATTTCTTTTGATTGTTCTTACACTAACTTGCTTCCTGATTATGATCCAAGGCTTATGTTCTCATCTTAAAATTAGGAATGATAACAATTCTTAACCTCCCAGAGTGATTTTTGAGAATAAAATGAGATCATGGAGATGAAGTACTTAACCAACTATTGGCCAATAATATGTGATGAATAAATACAATTATTTCTAATATTAATAGTCATGTGTCCATTAACAAGATAATTTCTGAGAAGTGTGTCATTAGGCAATTTGCTTATTGTGCAAACATTATAGAGTGAACTTACACAAACCTAGACAGCATAGGTCAATCACTCTATGTGGCTTCTTGATGCCATCAAGAGACTCCATGGAGACAAGATGAATAAGGCTCTTGCCAGCATAGCAGAACATACTGTTTTACAGTAACCTTTTTTTTTTTTTAAATGTAAACAGAAAGAGTACTCTAAAATAACAACAAAAATTCTAGTATAGTAAATACATAAACCAGGAACATAGTTGTTCATGATATCAAGTATTATGAACTGGGCATAATTGTATGTGCTATACTTTTATACCACTGGCAGTGCAGTAGGTTTGTTTACACCAGCATTACCACAAATGTGGAATTGTTGTGCTATGACATCATGAGGGTTATGATGTCACCAGGCACTAGGAAGTTTTCAGCTCCATTCTAATCTTATGGACTCATGATCACATGAAGTCTGTCTTGGACTAAAGCATTGTTATTTTGTGGATGACTTTACCTAATGATAAAATGTTTTCCCACAAATATTCCCTTCTAATGTGGTTGTAGTTGGAAATGAACACTGGTGCTT